GAACTAGATAAATCTAACCACAAAATAAATAAAAAGAAGTAAAGGAGAATTTTAGAAATGTTACATATGATAGCTCTCTGGAGAAAATGGAATGGAAATCAAAAGGAGCCCTTTTTCTGGGCTATATATGGCACTTAACAAAAACTAAAACCTCATAAACAAATGCAGAAAAGCAGAAATATTAAATGCACCCCTTTCAGAGCATAATGCAATAAAAATTACATTCAATAAAGGGCCTTGGAAGCAGGGATTAAAATTAATTAGAAACTAAATAATCCAATCCTAAAAAATTAGTGAGTCAAAGAACAAATCATACAAATGATAAATAATTTCATTAAAGAGAATGACAACATTGAGATGACATACCAAAATTTGTGGGATGAAGCCAAAGCAGCGCTTAGGAGAAAATTTATACCTATAAATGCTTACAACAATGAAATTAGAAAAGGGCAAATGCAAATTTGAAACAAAAATTGGAGACAGAACAAATTAAAAATCCACACTTAAATGTCAAATTAGAAATCCTGAAAACCAAAGGAGAGATTAATAAAGTTTAAATTAAAAAACTATTATTAGAATAAATAAAAGTAGAATCTGGCTTTTTGAAAAAAAATAAGACAGATAAACAATTACTTTTTTTTAAAAAAAAGAAAGAAGAAAAACAAATTACCACTATCAAAAATGAGAAGGGTGAATGTACCACCAGCAGAGTTGAAATTAAAGCAATTAAAAGGAGCTATTTTCCCCCAATCATAGGCCAATAAATCTGACAATCTAAGCCTAATGGATGTATATTTACAAAGATATAAATTGTCCAGATTAGCAGAAGAGGAAATACAATACTTAAATAACATTATCTTAGAAAAAAACTTGAAAAGGTCATAAATGAGTTCCATAAGAAAAAATTCCCAAGACCAGATGCATTCACAAGTGAATTCTACCAAATATTAAAAAATTAATTCCAATACTATATAAACTATTTTGGAAAACAGACAAAAGGAATCACATCAACACAAATATGACACTGACATCTAAACCAGCAAGAAAAAAAAACAGAGAAAGAAAATTATAGATCAATTTCCCTAATGAATACTGATGCAAAAATTTTAAACAAAATACTAGCAAAGAGATTACAACGATATAGCACAAAGATCATACACTATGACCAGGTGAGACTTATACCGGGAATGCAGGACTGCTTCAATATTAGGAAAATGATTTAGATTATTGACCATATCCACAACAAAAATCATATTGTTATCTCAATAGATGCAGAAAAAGCTTTTGACAAAATACAACATTCTTCTTAAAATGATAAGTGGTATCTAACTAAAACCATCAGCAAGCATTACCTGTAATGGGGTTAAGCTAGAAGCTTTTCCAATAAGATCAGCAGTAAATCAAGGATGCCCATTATTACCACTATTGTTCAATATTGCACTAGAAATGACAGTTTTAGCAATAAGACAAGAAACGTTGAAGGAATTAGAATAGACAATGAGGAAAGAAAACAATCACTCTTTGCAGATAATATGATGGCATACAAGAGAATCCAGTAAAAATTAGTTGAAGCAATTAACAATTTTAGCAAAATTGCGGGATATTAAACAACCCCATATAAATCATCAGCATTTCAATGTATGACCAACAAAGTCCAGCAGGAAGAGATAAAAATGGAAATTTCACTTAAAAATACTGCAAACAATATAAAATACTTAGGAGTCTACCTGCAGAGACAAACCCAGGAACTATATGACTACAATTATGAAACACTTTTCTTGCAAATAAAGCTAGATCTTAAAAAATTGGAGAAATATTAATTGTTCATGAGTAGACTAAGCCAATATAACAAAAATGACAATTCTACATACATTAATTAGTTATTCAGTACCATACCAATCACACCACCAAAAGTTATTTTATAGAGATAGAAAAAAATAATAACAAAATTCATTTGGAAAAACAAAAGGTCAAGAATATCAAGGAAATCAATGGAAAGAAGGTGGCTTAGCCATATCAGATCTCAAACTGTATGTAAAGCAGTAATCATTGAAACAATCTGGTATTGGTTAAGAAAAAAAAGTGGAGGATCAATGGAATAGATTGAGTATACAATACACAGTGGTAAGTGAGCATTGTAATCTAGTGTTTGATAAACCCAAAGATCTAAGTTTTTGGATCAAGAACTCACTACTTGGCAAAAATTGATGGAAAAACTGGAAAGAAATGTTGAGGGCCTGCACTGACAAGTCAGAGGATTTAGGCCAGTCCAGGTTTTACCTGTTGATTTTCTGTGTCCAATGGCTGCTTAAGTCAGAAATGTGGGCTCGCCAATCCCCCTTGCTCTGTCTCTCTCTTGAGAACAGAAGGACCTTGAAGATTACAGGAGGCGAGGAAAAGGTTCAAGGGGGGACTCCCCCTGGTTACTGTTCCCATGAGAAAAATAATTGTTGATACTTTGCCTTTGCTACTCTGGTACTGATCCCACGAGTGAGGTATAAAAACCCTAGCCCTCAGATTAATAAACAGAGCTGGTTCTTTACTTGCTACCCACCTGGCCTGCATTTTTCTTTCTCGCTCATACTCGACCAGAAAACAAACACTGCCGTGGATGTAGGCGCTCGTGGTGAAGAAGTTTGGCAGAAAATAGGTATAGACTCACATTTCGCACTGTATACCGAGATAAGGTAAAAATGGGTACATGGTTTAGACATAAAGTGATATTATAAGCAAATTAGGGGAAGGTGGAATAGTTTACCTGTTAGGTCTATGGATAAGTGCAGAATTTATAACCAAAGAAAAGACAGAGAAGATCACAGGAGACAAAATGGATAATTTGATTACAATAAATTAAAAAGGTTTTGCACAAACAAAACCAATGCCGCCAAAATTAGAAGTAAGGCAGGAAACTGGGGAAAAGTTTTTGCTGCAAGTTTCTCCGGTAAATGACTCATTTCTCAAATATATAGAGAACTGAGTCAAATTTATAAGAATGTGAGTTATTCCCCTATAGACAAATGGTCAAAGGATATGAACAGCCAGTTTTCAGAAGAAATGAAAGCTATCATAGTTGCGTGAAAAAATGCTCTAAATCACTACTGATTAGAGAAATGCAATTTAAAGCAACTCTGAGGTGCCACCCAACACTTACCAGATCAGATGATATGACAGAAAAGAAAAATGAAAAGTGCTGGAAGAGACTGTGGGGAAAAATGGGACATTAATGCATTGTTGGTAGAGTTGTGAACTGATCTAACCATTCTGGAAAGCAACTATGGCCAAAGGGCTATAAACCTGTGCGTACCCTTTGACCCAGCAATACCACTACTAGGTCTCCCACAATACCACTACTAGGTATCCCAAAGGCATGAAAGGAAAAGTAAAAGGATCTATATGTACAAAAATATTTTCAGCAGCTCTTTCTGTGGTGTCATAGATTTGGAAATTGAGGGGAAATGTCCATCATTTGGGGAATAGCTGAGCAAATTGTGGTATATAATTGTGCTATAAAAATGATGAATAGGAAGGCTTCAGAAAAACCTAGGAAGACTACATGAACTGATGGAGAAGGAAGTGAGTAGAACCAGGACAACACTGTACACAGTAATAGCAATATTATATGATGATCAATTCTGAACGACTTAGCTATTTTGATCAATACAATGATCTAAGATAATTCTAAAGGACTGATGATGAAAAATGCTATCCACCTCTGGAGAGGGAAATGATGGAGTCTGAGTGCAGATTAAAGCATGATTTTTTCCACTTTATTTTTCTTGCCTTTTTTGTAACATGGTTAATATGGAAATGCATTTTGCCTGATTTCACATTTCTTGCCTTCTCAATGATTGAGGGAGCAGTGGGAGGGAGTGAGAGATTTTGGAACTCAAAATTTCAGAAAGATGAATGTGAAAATAAATAATAATTTTTTTTTTCAAATGTAAAACAAGTTCATGGACAACAGGTTAAAAGCTCCTGAATTCTAGAGAAATAACTGTGGTGTAGTAAAGAGAGTTAGAAAAACTGGGTTTAAAATCACTTTGGACACAAGCTATGTAACCATCTACAAATATTGAAATGAAAATGAAAGTATTAATGTTTGTAATAATAATAATATGGTGTTTACCATTTATATAGCATTTTAAGGTTTGCAAGTCTCTTTTATAAATATCATGTCAGCTTATTCTTACAACAACCCCACAAAGTAGATGCTATTATTATCATAATTTTTAAAGAGAAGGAAAAAGAGGCAGACAGAGGGTAAGTGAATTGTCCAAGTTCATGCAGCTGGAAAGTGTCTGAGGCTAGATTTGAACTCAAGTCTTCCTGTGGCTCCTACTTGATGGGGTTGTGAGGCTCAAGGGACTATTAATGACATTATATACTTCAAAGTGCTGTGTAAGCATCAGTTAATAGTGTTATTTGAATCAGGAAGACCTTAGAGATGATCTCTTCCAACTGATTCACTTTACAGATGAAAAAAATAAGGTTGGGGAAGGAATTTTTGCAGGGTCACAACATAATATTGTTAAATTACACCCTGGTTGTACTTTAACTCTCTCCCTGCCACCAGAAAATTAAAATGAAAGTAAGCCCTAATTGCTTGATCCTTTACAATACAATTTATAATACAGGCAAGATCTTAATTTTCATTTATTCTATGCGTCTAATTCAACCAGCCTAAGCAAGTGAGTTCCTTCATTCACCTCATCAAGGTATTAGAGCGGGCTCCATTAATTCAGCCACCACAAACTCTCCTGCCACAAGTGAGCATTTGTCTAAGAAATAGTTCATCTGAAGCGTCATAATCCCCTTAGTTGTCCCTGGCATAATGATTGGCCATTCATCTGCCTTGCCCTCTCCACCCCCTTATCCAAATATTTCAGATGTTCCTGAAATATGTCAAATAAAGCATTATGACACCATAGAGACAGACAGCCTCAGGGGATGGGATTTATAGCATCATGGTACAATACCAATGACAGTTACAATGGCCTAACCTTTTAGATCAAGACAGGTAGAAAGAGAGACATCAGAACATTTCAGACCAAGATGGTAAACTCTGAAGGTAATATCACTTCCAGAAGTGTCCAGGGTTTTTTGTTTTGTTTTGTTTTGATTTTTTTTTTGTGCAGAAAAAACACTATGAAAATCATTCCCTGTGTAGAGAATGTATGATAAATATGTGCCCGTTAAATTAAAAGAAAAAAAAGATCAAATGGCTGAGAAAAGGTTGACTTTCTGCATTGCTAGAGGATTGAGTGATAGATGGGGGAGGGCATGAAAATGAGATTATTCTCTAACTTCTGCCTACAGTGAATAAGTCAACAGATTTATTATTATTATCATTATTATTAATATTTTACAGCTCATCCCCCTGACTAGCCAGGAGCTGATTTTATTAGCATTCAGGCTATTTCATACTAAAAACGGAAATCCTTGAAGAACAAAAGTTCATTTAAAAAACATGGCCACAGGGAGGAAGATTTGTCTGGTAACTGCTATCTCTTTGGTGCTATTTTCTAAAGGCCATGATTAGTGTGTGTGTGTGTGTGTGTGTGTGTGTGTATGTGTGTGTGTGTGTGTGTGTGTGTGTGTGTGTGTGTGTGTGTGTTTAAAGAAGATTTAGTTTTCCTGCCCTGAACTGGGCTTAGGTAATTGTGTATCTGCTTGAGTGCTGAATGCCATCTATCGCCTTCTTTATAAAGTTTATGACCCTCCTGCTCCTTTAAAGGCCTCAGGTGGCTGATTGATGAGCTAGTTCCTGATACTAACCATGAAGAATGGCTTATCTGAGAGATGGGCCTCTGTCTCCCTGGAGGATTACAGGAGTTAAAAGCAACCCTCTGTTATAGACAGTGCTTCTTCCCTGAATCAGATCCATCAGTTTGCCTGGGGAGCTCTTGGTGCTAGGATACTGACTGCTTTGGAGGCCTGAGAGCTGCAGCTGTGCTCATGTCAGATACTGGCCTCCATTCCCATGTGGCTAAAGGGAGGCAGAAGAAAGAAATTCTCATAGTTGAAGGCACAGGAAGAGAGAAAAAGTATTCCTTGGTACCACTTCTGATCATGTCCCCTTTGGGGGACCTTTAAGTGGGACTGAAGCAAATATCATTACGGAGTCTCAGGTCAATTCAAACCAACATGTTGGTCTGGCGTGTTTGTACATACCTAGAGTCCCTGGAAGACTGAGACTGGTGGATTGCTTGAGTTCAGGAGTTCTGAGATGCAATAAGGCTAACTAACACTGATTGGATGTCTTCATTTTATATCTGTCATAAATATGGTGATCCCTCTGGAGATAGGGCCACCAGGCCACTTAAAGAAGCATAAACAAGCTCAGGTTGAAAAATAGAAAAATAAAGCAACATATTGAAAAATGATGAGCGTATGAGTAGCCAACAGATTTTTGAAAAATGATGAGCGTGTAAGCGGCCAATAGATTTCCTGGATGGGTGAGATAAGTATACCCAGTCTCAAAAAGAAACAAAACAACAAACATTTATTAAGTACCTATTATCTACAATGTCCAGATCATATGTTACACCCTAGGGATATGAAGACAGAAACAAAAATCAGTCTCTGTCTTCAAGGAGCTCACCCTCTTTCAGGGTGGGATGGGGAAGGAACAGATAAGGAAAGGAGGTAGAAAATGAGATGAGATTTGAATATAGAGATTTGACTGAGAGAATGAGTGAATGAATGAAAAGGTACTTAATTCAGCACAAGCTATGTGCTAGGGAAACTGAGGCAGCCCCCGTTCTCAAAGTGCATATGAGGTAATAAGAGAGACATTTACATGGAGGAGGGTTCAGCAGTGGAGCAGATGGAAAATATGGGAAGTCCTTAAGCTACAGCGGCAGGTAAATGAATGGCAGGGTGCAAGGGGCTCTCAGAAGTAGAGGTGATAGAGTCTGTCCTAGGCATACAAAGGCCCATGGGTGAAGATGGAAAATTATGCAAGAGGAGCACTAATTAGGACGGGTCGGTTGGACCCGATTATGAAAGGGAACCATGTGAAATAAAAAATGGAAAGGTAAGCCTGAGCCAGATTGTGAAGGGCTTTAAAGGTCAAGCTGAGAAGATTGTATTCATTTCAGCTCCTCTTATTTCTTATTTGCTGAAATTTGCTTCCTTTTTCTCCTCCTTCTAATCCTGTTGAATGACATCTTTGTTTTCGTGTTCCACTGGCATCCCTGCGCTGCTGTGTTCTCTTCAGCCTGCTCTTTCTGATCAGCTCTCCTGTGGACTCCCTTTAAATACCTTTCACAGAGAAACTTTCATCCAGCAAATGGGGCTCTCCTGATTTCTCAGGATTACTCGGGCTGCTGGTGAGTGTGGAAGAAAAAAGCTTTCAATCCTTTGTGAAAGCCCATAGAGAAAGGCTTGCAAAATTGGACAATTATGGCTCTATTACATGGGAGAAGACTCTCTTTTTTGAGGAAAGGAGGCATGACAAGAGGCCTGCTTCTGAGATTTGGACATTTCAAATCAAATAGGAAAATAGGAAGCATCATTTCGTAACAAATCTTGTGTACACTTGGGCATATGACCTCCCCTCCTGCCCAAGAATTGTTGTCTACTGAATCAAAGGAAGGAAGAAGGGTATAATAATAGCCAGAAAACTGAGTTTGGAGCCAAAATACTAGGGTTCAAACCTCAGTCCTGTCACTACCTGTATGACCTTGGACACGTCTCTTCTCTTCTCTTGTCCTTAATTTCCTGGCCTGTAAAATGAGGGGAGTAGACTAGATAATCCTTAAGATTCCTTCAGCCACAAGCTCCTATGATTTAAATCACTGAACCTCTCTGGGCTTCAGTTTTCTTATCTGTAGAATGAGGTCTTTGAAGAAGATGACCTTTGAGGTCTCTAACTCTGAATTTGTTATTCATTCTTCAAAATTCACCTACTTTGTGAAAATTTCTTTAGCATTTTAGGATTAGTAAAGCACTTTACAAAAATCACCTCACCAGACCCTTACAGCAACCCTGGGAAGAAGGTGCTATTATTATCCCCATTTTACAGATGTGGAAACTGAGACTTAAAGAGGTTAAGTGACCTGCTCAGGGTCATACAGCTAAGTATCTGTAGTAGGTTTCCAACTCAGGTCTCCCTGGCTCCAAGTGCAGTACTCAAACCACTATGCTGCCCCTCCTATGAGAAGAGAGAATGGCTTTTGGGGCTGACAAACTTAGGAAGATGAGCCAGGCAGAATTTACCAGGTATATACATCTTTAAAAAAGCAACTCTAACATAAATAAACTTTTGTATGTCCTACTTACATCATGCACTTTTCCATTAGAAAGCCAATTATACCTTGAGCAAAGATGGCTCTTTTAATAAATATTTACAGAGTTGAATACTAATGTACAATGGCGTGTCAAAGAATCTTAAACAAAATCCTTCCTCAAACTTAGTTAACTCAAACAAAAAGTCAAACAATGCAAAAAAAATCTTTATGCTTCACGTCTCTTGTCTCTTCCAAGCTCTACTTCAATCCTATGAGTAGGGATATTTTCACACAAAAGCAGGGAATCATGGGGAAGGGCAAAACCTGACTGTATCCTACCCATAATTCAATGTTTTTGAATCTTATTAATTAGGAGCCAGGAGACTTGGGTTCTATTCCAGAATGGATACTGAGTCTCATGTCCCTAATTTATAGAATTGATGGTCTTTGTTGTTACTTTGGATAGGCACAGGGAGAGCCATAAGTAAGAAAGATCATCTTTTACCCATAGTCACATCTAACAGACAGCACTTGAACCTAGGTCTCCCTGGCTTCGGCACCAGCTCTCTGTCCATTTTGCCTCAATGTTTCTTGGGCTAAATATAATAAGATAAAAGAGGCATAGGCTTGCTACCTGAGTATGAAACAATCAGACTGATAAATAGAGGTTGGAAGGAGTCATGGATGGACAGTAGCTATTCATTAAAAAATATTGGGGTTTTTTAGTGCATATGAGTCATCAGGGTGATGGAGAAGCCCCAAAGCCCATGTATATTGGGTTTCATTAAGAGTGGCAGAGCTTCAAGGAGTAGGGAGGTGAGGGCCTCACTGTATCTCTGCCCTTGTCAGGCCTCATATGTAGTGCTGTGTTCTATTCTGGGCACTCTGGTTTAAGAAGGGAATTGATAAGCCAGAGAGTGTCCATAAAAGGGCAACTAGGAAAGTGAATGACATTGAAGCCATGACCCATGGTTAAAGGAACCGGGCATGTTCAACCTGGAAAAGGGAAGACTTGGGAAGAGAAGGGAAGTGTGATAGTTTCCTCCAAATATCCAAAGGGCCATCATGTAGAGCAAGACAGACTAGTTCTGTGTGGCCCTGGAGGACAGAGCCAGTGGCAATGCTTGGAAGATGCAGAAAAGACAGATTTAGGCTTGATGTCAGGAAAAACACCTTCACAATGAAAGCTGCCCCAAAGTGGAGCAGGATGCCTCTAGGGGTCGTGGGGTCTCTCTATTTGGAAGGAATCAAGCAGAGGCCTCATGACTATTTCTAGGGGATGCTATACAGCCAACTACTTTCACGTACGGTTTGGATTTAATGTGCGGGGAGGTCCTTCAAGGTACATGGTCCCTTCCAAGGTACTAAGGTCCCTTCCAACTCTCTAGTTCTCTGATTCTGTGATAAGTAGTTTATAGGCACTAAAAAAGCAAATAGATGTTGAGAGGAGAAGGATAGCCAAGCAGTTGGAGTTCCTGAAGCCAGAAGTTTCAGGTTTTTAATTCAGGCCTTTCCAGAAAAGTCCATGTGACATTGCAGGAAAGCTTTTAGTCAGCAAACAGATTCCTTCCCCAATGGCCTCTTCTATTTAAGTGGGTTTGAGCTAAGGATTTGGGTAAAGAAGGATCATTTACTCATCTGCTCTCCTCTCAGCTTCATTTTAAAGTTTTAAAAGGAGAAAAGTATTTAAGGTTGACAGATCTGAAAGTAACGTATTCTACCCCATTTGTGACCCCTCCATAACATTTACCATCGCCTGAGCCAAAACATTAGGCCCTGGGTTTCTGGTCAACTAATTCAAACAGTCAAAACAAACAAGTGTTCATATAAATGGGAAGGAATATCACTTTGCCTTTGATAAAATAATCCTGTAATTTATCCAATTTGTTTATTTTCAGAGGGGCCTGGAGGAACAAAGGGAAAGTCTGCCTTTGGCACAAAAAGGAGACCTGAGCCTCCCCAGCTAGCAAAAGGACAACAAGAGGTCTTTCCTTCATGCAGAAGTAAATCCATTCAGGTCAGGCTCACTCTCATATCCTTCCTTGAGTTAAAGCCAAAGGGGTTTAATGTGTCTATTAGTGGAGATTATGCCACAGAGCAGCTGCTATTTTCTTTTTTAAGGCAGTGTGACTACCCTGCTGGCTGATTTCTTTATAGACTATTCCATCTCCCAACTCCTTGCAGAATTCCATACCTGGGACTCTCCTTTCTTACCTTGACCTCTCTCTTGGGGGCTCAGATCAACTCTGACCTTCTACTGAAAGCCTCTCCTGATGTATCCCCACCCTTCCACTGCTAGTAAGTTCTCCCTATTGTGAGGATGTACACATGAGGTACCAATAATCAATCAATCCTTCAATCAACAATCATTTCTTACATGTTAATTCTATGCCAAAAGTGGATTAAGTTCTGAGCATATGAAGAAAAAGAATATATGCTTTTCAGGGATAAGAATTCTTCCTCTCTCCCCTTTCCCTCCCTTTCTCTGTCTATTCCTTCCCCTTTTCCTTTGCCTTTGCACTCCTAGAGAGCCTGACATATTTCTGAGGTGGGTCAGGTGCTGTGATGTAAGGAGCTCCCAGTAAGGAAAGTCACTCTACCAAGAAATATATTCAATTGTTTTGCAACTCAAAAAGCGTGACCCGAGTGATCTGAAATTTTATCCAGACAGTTACACTAGGGGCTATATCTATACGGAAGGCCAAGATGTCACCCATGCTGAGAATCCTGGGAAAGAAAAGAAAGAAAAGAGTGAGGGGATGAGAAAGAAAAAGGGGAAGTAGATGTACCCCAAAGCCCAGATAAGGCATCTGGAGAAGCCATTATTATTTACCATCACAAATTTGTTGCTAAGTTAAATGTCCAGCGTGCAATGATTTCTCATGGCAAAGATTACTCATGTTGCGAGAAAGAGAAAATATCTGAGAATCACTGGCAAAGAGTTTCCTGTGTCTCTTGTAGCCTGAGGGACTTGCTGAAGATCACGTGGTCAGTATGGGTCAGAGGTAACATTTGGACCCAGGATTCCTAACTCTGAGGCCAGCTCTCTGTCCACAATGCCAAGGCATCTCAGCTGGCATGTAGTATTTAATACATTTTTGTTGAACTGAATTTGAAAAGAAGTTTTAAGCTAATCCCAGAGGTCTAAGGGGAAAGTCTCCATTTGAAGACATCATGAAGTAACAGATTACTTCTCCTTTGGGATTTGAGGGAGTGAGGCTCAGTCTGACCTTGGCATTCTGGCCAGTCTCCTGCCCTGTCTGCCCCTTCATCTCACAGGCTCCATTTAGTATTTCTTCTCTGTTTTTTTTTTATCAGACATTGCCCACAATTAGTCTGATTGCATCTTCTGACTGCTCAGCCCAAGGAGTAGAAAACTGAACTCATCTTTAAAGGGACCCTCCCCAGGTCTTCTAGCCACCACCAAGGGGAGGAGGACAAGCCACTCCACTCCAAGTCTTGGTTGAGTTTTGGATGAAAAAGTCCCATTCATGCTCTCAATGCTGCTTGGCTGGGGAGAAGACACTCAGTATCCCTCAGAATAGACTGAGTTGCTACATGACAAGCCTGGTTAAAATAATTATGCAGCACTTTACTCAGTGTAAAGTCATTTATCTCCATCAGGCTGGTGGATGGTTGACACTCTCTGCCAGCTCACTACTTCCATGAAAATTCAATTCAATCAGCATTTATTAAGTACCTATTATATGCCAGTACAGGGGGAGGGGAGAGAGCTTTGCTGAGTCCTCCATGCTTTACAGCTAGTTTGGCATCATTTCTTGGGTGTCAAAACATCATCTAGGATTTCTGGTTAATTGTCTTCACTAGGGGAAAAAAAAAACAACAACGTATTTACTCAACATCGTACTAACTCTTTTAAGGCCAATAGTTCAACTAAATCTGAACAATATATTGGACACAAATCACCCATTAGTCCCTGTCGCTAGAGGGGAAACAAAAGTGGTTTTTTCTTCTCACCATTCATTGTTCAAATGTCAATATTCTAAATAACTTCTTGCTTTCACCAAGGTCACGTGGGACAAAAATGACTGCAGGGGTATGGGAGTACGTTGTGTAGGTGCAATCCCGTTGGAGAAGGGACTATACGGCTTCTTGACCCCGGGCAGGTTGGGATTGAGGAGGTGGTGGGCCAGGGGTGACTGTAGTGCTTGTTGGCAAGAGGAAAGGATCAACTAGGGATGTAGCCCCTACAGGGAAGAAATAAGTCTCCCTGGATGTCAGTGCCATAGGGGAAAATGCCATTTTCTCCATGCTAGTTATGCCCTGGGGACTATGAGACGGGATATTTAACTTAAATATAGCAATAGCTTCTTCAGGAAAATCAGAAGTTGGTATTCATTCTACATTCACAGGCCTCTCTCTATTTGGTGAGAGGAAAATAGTCTGTGAACAATTTGTTTTGAGATTATGTGTATACACACACACACACACACACACACACACACACACACACACACACACATCCCTGGAATGCTCTCTTTCTTCCACTCTGCCTCTCAGAATCTCTCGTTTCTTTCAGCACGGAGCTCAAACACCACTTTTTACCCAATTTCCTGATAAATACTGATGCCTTCCCTGGTAAGGTTACCTTATATCTAATTTTATTTATTTCCTATCTACATAGTTAGGTTATCTAGAAGTTTATGCATCGCCTTCCCTATTCAAATCTAAGTCCAGGAGGGATTTTTACTTTTGTCTTTGTATCCCCAGCACTTAACATAGTGGCTGGCCCATAGCAGTGTTCTCAGTTGTTTCAGTCATGCCTGACTCTCTATGACCCCATCTGGGGTTTCTTGGCAAAGATATGGAGTGGTTTGCCTTTTCCTTCCCCAGCTCATTTTACAGATGAGGAAACTGAGGCCAACAGAGCTGAGTGACTTGCCCAGGGTCAAACCAGATGTGAACTCAAGTCTTCATGACTCTAGGGCTGGTGCTTTCTACTGTACCACCTAGTTGCCTGGTACATAGTAGGCACTTAGTAAATGCCTGCTGATTGACAGTCCATTGAGGTGTGGTTTAGTTGGGCCCTATCTCATGAAGCCCTCCCTCCACAGTATCACAAGCCAGAAGCAGTCCCACACTTCTCAATTCCTGATGACTCTGTCCAACCTTTTTGTAAGTATTTGGGCAGCTGGTGGCACAGTGGACACAGTCAGGAAGGTTTGAGTTCAAATCCAGCCTCAGACAGTTACTTGGCTGTGTGATAAATCACTTCACCTATATTTGCCTCAGTTTCCTCATCTATAAACAGGCATGATAATAGCACCTACTTCCCAGATTTCTTGTGAAGGTAAATGGAGATAATACATGTAGTGCTCTGCAAATCTTAAAATACTACATAAATACCATTTAATAAATAATATGAAGTTATAATAATGACAATTATAATAATTAGTTAATTTTAAATTTAATTAATATTTAATTTAAACAGTATCTTATAACAATAATTTTTGCATTTTAACTTGTATTATAGTATTTATGCATGTCATTCTGCTATAAGACTATAAAGTCCTTGATGGCAAGCACTATGCCATTGTTCATCCTTGTATCCCCAGGACTGACTAGGAAGGAATATGCAGGTTAGGTTGCCTTTGAATGAAGAAGTTCATAATGCTATCTATGAACCTGAAACAACAACCTTTCTTCTGGCCACCCATCATCTCCTGGGGATGACTGGTACCTACAAACCAAGGACCACCATGGACTTTAAAGAATCAAGACAGCTAGGTGGTGCAGTGGATAGAGCACCGGCCCTGAAGTCAGGAGGACCTGAGTTCAAATCCTGCCTCAGAGCAAACACTTGACACTTACCAGCTGTGTGACCCTGGGCAAGTCACTTAACCCCAATCGCTTTAAAAAAAAAAAGAATCAAGATTGAAAGTGATGCAAAGGGCAATGGAGAGTTGGGTGGTAGGTGAAAATAGTCTTCATCATAAGCCATGACTTATGTTGCAAGAAATCACTGAAAAGAAATCACTGAGGAAATGTACAACAAGCGAAGGAAATGAGTCCATTATGTGATAAGGAAAGACCATCAGCCTGAGTGCTATACTGGTGCTTGTGTAATAGATGGATGGATGGATGAATGGATGGATGGATGGATAAAGCATTTTTTAAGAACTTATTATGTACCAGGCACTGTACTTAGCATCAATGATATAAATAAAGGCAGGCAAGTCCCTATCTGTAAGGGGTTGCCATTCTAATAGAGGAAGACAACACACATGGTGTAGTCAGAAAACCAGGGAGTGGAGGAGGAAAAGTACCCAGTCACAGACAATGTAACAGGCAAGGAGGAAGTGGAGTCTGGAGAGAGTGGAGGCGAAAGGGAGGTGAAACATGGCTGGGGTCATTCCTAAGATGTGGTCCTGGGAAGGGAGTCATTAATGAGGAAAGAAAGGCTCCAAGGTACAGGCTTCTCTGGGTGGCATCTGAGCAGGTGAGGAATGCTCAAAAGCCTCCAGGCTAGGCTCTTCACAAAGGATTTGTGGGGTGGAAATGATGACAATCACCTAGGAGGAAAAGGCATTGGTGGTTACAATCTGCACCACTGGAGGGACTCCCTACCTTGATGAGACCAAAGACCCATAGGAACATTGAAGTATGCTTAGGGTTTAGCTCAACACCTTCAACAAAGCTGGCACCTCATAAAACATTCCTGGAATGAATTGGGTGCATATTAATGGGGTCTTAGAACAACCTTGTACAGAAAAAGACCATGAGAGTGGCAGTATACTGAGGCTCCAGGGATTAGCTAAAACCAAACTCTAGTCTAACTGATTCCCCATCTTTCCCTGTCATTAGTCAAAGCAGCCTCCATGGCTCCAGAATCTGGCATCATGCTTGTACCTAATAGCCCCCGCCAATGGGATGGAACCCAGACCTTGAAATAAGCTGGATAACACCCAGAACATCTCTGCATTTGCTCTTGGTGGCTTCCTACCCCTCCTAAAACAAATCTGTAGACTTTTAGACTTGGAATCAAGAAGG